GTTATACGTGTTTGAGACACTCAACTTACTACTTGCCTCATACTACTGCGAAGTTGGTGCATTTTACCTAAATAATTTTTACCTTCCTACTTTCAACCCACTTACCAGTCATATACATTACGCACTTCATGTTAGCATTTAATCGGAGATAAAATACTACTAAACTATTTGCTTTTTGCCGTCGATCCAACTTGCCTTCTCACCAACGGGTACTGCAGTAACGTCTCCATAAGCAACTACCTTTCTCGATAAATATTCCTAAGTATTCCGAAATTTTACAGGTAACCTGCGATGCGACTTTCATGCACAAAACTGCAAGACAACGAGCTGGTGACTCAAGGGTTAGGGCGTTAGACTGATCAAATGGGTCGCGAGTTCGAGGCTCGGGCGGGGCTCTATTTGGGTCTGGGTATGACTGACTGACGACGGCTTATAAGGCAGGGATAGCCATCTAGTCTCCCTGGTCTTTGCCACCAATACTATCTTTCAGCCTATTAACCGGTCATATATAATCAATTGCCCATTTCATGTTAGCATTTTGTCGAGACTAAAATGCCACAGAACTATTTGCTTTTTGCCTTCCTTCAGCTTACCCCGCAATATCAGGTTCTACAGCGACGGCTTCATAAGCAACTATCTTTATCGCTAAATATATCAAAGTATGCCAAAGAACAATCGGTATATTGTCGTCAGGAGGATCCTCGATGTTAGAAAGGTAGAAAAACAAAGTTACTTTCATGCGCAAACCTGCTTACCTTTCTTATAATCTCATTCGTCATGTTCCAGAGGAAATATAAATCACATTGATAATGTTGGCTGCTGCCTTCCCGCCACTTCCATCCACGTGTACGCGAACCCTCAATAGGGATCTGCTTCCAGCCTTTGGGTGAAGGCGGAAAAGTTCCATACATTTCCTCGTCGCGTTTTGCATAGACCTGAATAAGGATTGGTCGGCAGACCTCTTTTACCTCGTCGTTTAATCTTAATGGGAAGGCGCAGCCAATCATGCAGGAGAATTCAGCTGCAATTTAAGGAATCAAAATCATAAATAACAGTCGTGGTAAACATTCTCAAGAAATACTGAAAATAATTTACTCAGTAAAGGTGGGAAATCCCTTAATTGTTGAATAGGTGAGTTTGGAATGTTATCAGTTCCAACCGAATGTGAATTATTAAGACAACTTATTTCTTTTGAATACAAGCGGGTGAGAAATCAATGGTACTGAGATTTGAATCACACAGCAGAGGGATTGCAGAAGTAGGGCTAGTTTCGACGGTAAAGAACTTGGCAAAAAAGGAATTCAGCAATGTTGCTTCCTCCAAATCCTCTGTAACCAAGTGATTGTTGCTGTTG